TGTGTTGATTAGTTAATACCAATTTGATGGTGAGTACAAATGGATCCCGTTCTGCTGCTCTTGTGGTGCCCCACTTTGGATAATGGGCTCAAGTTTAATCCAGGAAAGTGTAAGAGGTGCTAGATCACTGTCATTTCTTATGATTTAGTAATATTCCATTGTGAACATATACCAAATTTTGATTATCTTATAATATTTTATGAAGACTGGTGCCATAGATGCAGCAGCTGGCTTCTTTCTGCATCGGCATATTTTTCATCTAAGTAAAATCTACTTTAAAATAAAAGACATGTCTCTTTGCTCTCTGAACTCTCACTATCCAAATATTTACTATAATGATGTGCTAAATTTTTATACAAAATTCATCACCCAAGCCTACCAGATAAATCTGTTTTAGGTTCCATGTAAGAATATGTTTAAGTCATGCACACCTAGGCAAGAACACACCAGTGTGCTGGTATTGTATCTCAGCATTTTCCTAATAGGATAATGTCTTGGGTTCACATTGTTTAAACATGTTATGTTTTGTAGCTATCCTCCTCTCCACATTATTCAGTAACAGATCTTAAAAAGTAGAGAAATTAATGAAGAAAGTGGACAAGCCTAAGAGGCCTACTGAAATCCATGCACTACTGTAGAGAACATTTTGTCTGGGAATGTTTCCTTGTTGTTTTTCTCAAGAACATGCCTTGGCCTTGCACGCAGGTCCAGGGAGCCCTAATCCTGCAAACAGGAGGGGCTACAGAGTTTAGATGCAAACATCTGTTCGCCGGAGACGAAACAACAAGGAACAGGGACGTGTTGAGTCGGGACAGTGTGGGAAAAAAGAAATTGCGGTGGGACAGTTGCCAAACAGGCTGTGTTATAAATAAAGAAACTACAGCAAGAAATTTGCTGCAGTCTTATACCATCTTTGTGTGTGTCTGTGTCTCTTTGTAGTGGCTGCAGTCCTGTACCATCTTTGTATGTGTCTGTGTCTGTCTGTCTCTGTGTTCATTCCTCGGCCCCAAGAAATGGGCCACGTCACACTACAAGAAAAGTTGGGAGTGATAAAGCACACTAAGAGAACTGAATGGCTAGAAGTCTTAAGCTTGGCTATGCATGTGTCCCCAACTCCTATAAACCACAAATAAAATCCTGGAGATTTACAAGAAAATTTTAGATTCTAGCCCCCAAAAAATCTTGCTGCTACAAATGAATGTGATCATGAGCAGACATGTTACATTCGACACACAATAACACATGAAACCTCATGTTAGCAAGAGTTTTTAACCAAGCAAAGGGGATGCAAACAGACAGGCACTGAGAGTTCTGTTTCTCATCCCACTGCTCTGTGTGTAGCTTCAATGATTCACAGACAACCACCTCTGAACTCTTCCTGATGGGAAGGGAAGATTCTCCCCGTCTTCCCTCAGATCCAGATGAACCTCAGATATTTCCTGTTTAACTCATTCCTTCACCAGCTCTGGCTTCCTTTCCTCCTCCCACCCTCAACAGTAACAGTGACCACAGCCTCCAACTCCCTCCTCTCACCACCAGACCACACACAAGCATGCCCTGAATCCTAAGAAACCTCTCGCTAAGTTCTCCTTTGTTTATTTTATTTTGCTAAGTATTACTGGCATGTAGTGCACATCTTTAATATATTATTTATTTACCAGTACATGTACACAACAATGTAGAAGGAAAATAGAATACACCACCAATACTGTACACTGTATAGTATACAGTATTGTGGCATACTGCATATAAACATACTTACTAAGTCTATCGAGTGCTGAATAACTAGATAGTATTATAATTAATTTATATTGTACAGAAACAATTGGTGGGTTGTTAAATAGGTGTATATGGGGGTTTTAGTGATATTTGGCAAATTGATCAGCGTTTACCTGTGTGTTAGAATGCATTTTTTATTTTTCTCACTTAAAATAATGGAATATTGGCTTCTATTCTCTCAAAATTCATTTAAAAATTTTAAGGAACAGATTAGATTCATAAAAAGAGGGATGCCTATATAATTAGCAGTTACTACAATGTATACTTGCTCTTCTAATGTGCCATTTAAAAGTGTCTAAACATTATCATTATTTTTTTAAAAAAAAGTAATGAAGTACTATTTTAAAAAGAGAGTGCAATATGCACCACCCAAAGGATGGACATATTTGAAACTCGGACTTGGGGGGGAGGCGAGGGCAAGGGCAACATACGTAACCTAAACATCTGTGCCCCCATAATATGCTGAAATAAAAAAATAAAAAAGGTATTACCTTAATTTGAAAGTCATTAAATGTCTGTGTCCATTAAGCTTTTTCTACGTATTGCTTTAGTGTGTTTTTTAAAAATAAAAAGCCAATCACCTATATTTATATTCTGTTGGGAAAATATGAATTATAATCGCTGGGAGAGGAAGCTCAGACTATAGATTGGCATTATAGATTTACCTGTTTGGGGGGTTTTGTTTGTTTTAATTTTGATAGAAAAAATATCTGTATGTGTTATTTCTCTTGATTTAGTTTTGTTTAGTAAAATTGTATTCTAGGTCACCATTACCTATAGCAACACTACCTCTCACCTGCGGCCCCTTGAAAAACATTCTTCATCTGAATCTTGTATACATACAACTTCTCCACTGGATTCCTTTGCAGTGCAAAGTTCCTGAAGAAAAATTGACACATTTAGATACTTAAATATATTTATAAAGTAAAAAATTCCTGACATTTGTATAACATGTAATAATTTTGGAAGCATCCTCATATCCAATGTCTTGACTAATCTATATGTCAATGTGAGAAAGGCACTGGATTTTACAGATTTGAAAACTGAGGATTATAGAGACAAAATGATTTGGTCCAAGGTATAGAGCTAGTAGATCCAGAAGCAAAATTTCAAAATTAGAACTCTGAGTTCATTGCTCTTTCCACTGTGCTACATGGTCACACTGTAAAAAATCTTCCAGAAAGCCCTATGTTCTCACAAGATAGTTTTCCAAAATATCCACTAATATGGAACAAATAGCCTAGAGACTCAGACAGAAACTGGACTCGATCACAAACAGAGTTTTTTTGTGCCATCAGGGGCACTAGGTTGTAAGCCAAAACATAATTTTTCTCTTTCTCAAAGGAAGAAGTAGATATTGGGGTTGACCTCCACAATGAGATGTCTACATTCTCATGGCAGATATGACAGTTAAATCCCAGAGAGCTACCAAGAAGGAATAATGAATGGGCAATCAAACCAGACAACTTCCTTCAATTGTTTTCTCTATACCACTTTTCTCGTCATCTTAAATTTTAAGATTATTATGACATATATTCACTGCTCTAAAATTGAATGTAAAGGTGCCCATCACAGTTTCTGAAATGGAGACTGAAAAACTCACATTTTAAACCAGGGATGAAAAGTAAAGCAAGTTCTTTTTCCTCTCTGGATCCCAAGGATAACTAGCAATGACAACGATAGTAATAGTAATGACAATGACCATTGTAATAGCTCACATTTACTGAATGATTACCATATATGAGAAACTATCTTATTTTCTCCTAACAAAACCTTAAAAGGAGGTACTATCATTGCCATTTATAGAAAAAGAAACTAAGGCTAAAGGTTGTGACTTGGCCAAGGTCACAGAGCTGGTAGGGAAAGGATTTGAGCTCAGGTGATCTGGATCTAGAGGCCTCCCTTGTAAAGTAAGGCGTTAGGTATATTGTATGTTGCAATGCCATCATAATAATATTAACATGGCCAAAACAGAGCTCTTGATTTGGGCCTCCCATATTGCCCAATCCACATTGTCCCAGTCTTGTTCAAATCAGTTAGTGGAACATCCATATGCTCAGTTTCTCAGGCCAAAAAGCTAAGAGTCCTTGAGACGTTTCTCTCTTTCTCCCAGCCACTTCCAACTTATCAGCAAGGGCTCTATCTCCAAAATATATCCTGAATCTGTGTACTTCTATTTCCATTACTACAGTCATATAGTCCAAGCCCCTATAATCTCTGACATTGGTCCTCTTGCTTTCATTCATGTTTTTCTATACTCCGTTTTCCACTCAGAAGTCAGTCTGACCTTTAAAAAAAATCAATGATGTCACCCTCCTGCTTTTTAATGCACTTGGAGTAAAACCCAGATCTATTATCATGGATCACAAAGTTCTACATAAGCTGGCCCCTGCCTACTTCTTGGATCTTATTTTCTACTACTCCTTCCCTCTTTCACCTTATTCTAGTTACATAACCTACTTTGTTCCTCGGAACTCTCAAAGCTAGTTACTACCTCAAAGCTTTTACAGCTGTTGAACCCTCTACCTGGGTGGCCTTCCTTTCTTATCATCACTGGGGGTCTTTGCTTGAAAGACAAATCAACAGGAAGAGACTGACTATTCTTTCTGAACTCCCTTCCCCCACCAGTCATTAGCACATTATTCTATTGTTATCATCTTCATGGCACTTGTCTATTTCCCTTAATCTTTCCCTGGCATCTAGTATAGTACTTGGAACATAGTAGGTGTTTATTAAATATGTTACTGAATGGATAAATTAATTGATCTTAAATACATTAGATGAATTCTAAAGTTGAATTCTTCTTTTCAGAGAGACAATCTGTGAGTGCTTTATTAGAACACGAAGTGAGCAAAGGCCTTTATATCAGCTCCTCAATGGAGGAAAAGCTGCCTCAAAATTCACCTTGTGTCAGAAGCATTCCTTTATCTACTGCCAAAATGCTCACTTCTGTTAATATGTTCTGGCCCCAGCACCTTTATTTTATAATATTTTATATGATATCAAGACCACCATCTCTTTCAACTGTGTCTAAATCTCCATTGACATGCTCACCTTTTGAAACAAATGAGCTGATGTTTCCTTATTCATTCATCCTAGCACAACCCTCTGCACAATGTTATCCCCAGCTGAGAGAGCAAAGGGGAGGTGGCCCTTCAAAGGAAGCCCACATCACAATGAGGGAAGCACATACAGCATACTCACCCGTAGAGTCTGAGCCCTGAGAATACAAACAGTTCCCACAAGATAAAACCGATCGTCCCAAAGATTTGTAGCAGATGACCCAATACGGGGGCGTTTTGGAAAGTAGCTGTTGAAGATCACGAAAGGCTCTAAGGGAGATAGACACCCATGTGACAATGTCATAGAAAGGTGGACTGATTAAACAAGAAGACAAACATCTGCCACATCAGTGTGCTGTTTTTCCAACCCATTGACATTTTCAAAATTCTAAGCCATGGAATTTTCTCTGTCTTCCTTCCTTTCCACCCACCCTCCCCACAACGGTCCCCACCAAAACATAAAGAAATCATTATTAAGAATTAGTTAGGTGTTGAGAATTCGGGTTGGCTTTCAGTATTCTGTCATTACCCTGTGTATTGTTATTTTAGTCTCCAAGAGAAATTTAGCTCTTCCCTTTTATATAGACCACTTAGATATTTTGTGTGTGTGTGTGTGTGTTTGTGTGTAATTTGTGTGTGTATATAGTCAAATAAGATTTTTTAAAGGCCGGCACAGGCACGGTGGCTCACACCTATAATCCTAGCACTCTGGGAGGCTGACATGGGAGGAACACTTGAGGCCAGGAGTTCGAGACCAGCATGAGTAAGAGCGAGACCCCGTCTCTACGAAAAATAGAAAAAATAGCCGGGCATGCTGGCACATGCCTGTAGTCGCAGCTACTCAGGAGGCTGAGACAAGAGGATTGCTTGAGCCCAGGACTTGCAGTGAGCTGTGATGAGATCATTACACTCTAGCCTAGGCAACAGAGCAAGATCCTGTCTCAAAAAATTTTTTAAAAAAGATATATGACCTTTAATTTCCAAGAAACATGACAAGTCTATTGGCCGACCTTTGTGTGAGCTAATTTTTATTTATTTACTTATTCATTTCTCACATCTTCACCAATATTTTGTATTATTTACACTTCTGATTTTTGCCATTTTGATGGATATACAGTGCTATCTCATTGGTTTTTAAATTTTTTATTCATTGCTTATTAGTGAATTTGAGCATCTTTTCATATATTTGTTAGCTATTTGGACTATTTACCTCTGATTCAAGCCCCAGGTGTTTTAATGGCCCCAAACTAGTTAATGTTAATTAATGTATGCTAATTTCTCAGCTTGCAATTTCTGAAACCTCAAAATTTGTAAATCAAACCCCATACCCACACATGACACAAATTTGGGTTTGAATTCCTGTAAATGGCACATTTTTTTGTCCATTCAAATTCCTACAGAGAAGGCAAACTTACTCACTCTTCCTCTAGGCCAGTGGACAGAACTTTACTGATTATTTTACTGATCTCTAGGTTTTATATTCTCGTCCTTGAGTGGGCGTTAGAATTCTAGACCCCAGCCAATGAAGCCTGTGCATTATTTAACATCTACTTAAGCCATCACAAAATCGGCTTCTTTTTACCACTGTGGTACTGCTTTATTCTTTAATTTCTGGTACATATGGAGTTGCCTTTCTTTTAAGCTTGGCTATGCACTAAACTTCTTTTGTTATGTCTTAGCAATCATTTCCTTGTTTGGTAAAAGGAAAGAGCAATCCTTATCTGCTCAGTGCACCACATTTCTATGTGAACCCACCTTGTAAATTTCACTATTAATTTTTTTATAGTGTAATTCATGTCCATAGCCAGAAACTGTGGCCATAAGCATATCAGAGTTTGCTACGACCAAAACTATAAGAGCATTTATGTTAGCAAATGTGGGGATACACAACACATGAACATCATGTAAATAAGCTAAACTATATTGCTTACCATTATAAAAATCTTTTACACGCAGAATGAATTTCACATATTCATAAGCAGGACTGCCACCTTGTTCAACCCTTCCTTTCTTTAAATGACAGCAAAACTCAACATGTCTTCCTACTAAAAAGAGAACAAATACAAAACAAGTCTACATTTGAACTTTACCATATTCTGCTGGATTATGTCATATGATTAATGTGTTACTTAGACTAGGTCTTGCAAAAATATCATTTTCTTTGCATGATCATTAGCACTTACACAGCTATCTATGTTGTATCTGTAGAGTAGGGTACCAGCTAGAACATTATGCACAATGGTCCATTATTTATATAGCACTAATGCAGTTATACAGATGCTCCAATAATCAGGATTCATGGTAAAGAACAAGATTTAATGGAAGAGATATTTTTTAACACTAGAAATATAATTTGTAATATTACATGAAATTAAACCAATACATGATCAACAGCCATATTGACTCTAATGTCTTTTTAAAAATTACTCTATTGAGTGATTGTTACTTGTCTCTTAAAACCTAAGGAACTTAACTATTTGAAAAAATCTGTACCTGAGTTTGACAAGGGAAGTTTGAGAATAATCTTTCGGTAGACTTCATTTTTCTCTTTATCAGGAAGAAGGCTTAACAATTTTTTGCCCACAATCTCAGCCTGGTAGAGGAAGGAAGACGGGGGGTGGGGAGAGAGAGAGAGAGAGAGAGGGAGAGAGAGAGAGAGAGTAAGTTTTTATTTCAGAGTATTATGGAGGTACAAATGCTTCGGTTATAGAAATTGAGAATTTTTTTTTTTTATGCATGCTAATACTGCTCAGTGCTTCTACCCGCCTCACCCCCAGGGAGCTTATCCTCTGCCATCTATGGCTATACCTACCATATCTCTAAAAAACACAATTCACATCACCCCACTTTATGACTACTACTACCTCCTACCTTTCCAGTACATGCAAGTACCCCCTTTCTCCAACAATTATTCCATCCACTGATAAGTCCATTCTTATCACATTTTCACTGTGCATTATCTTCCTCAAATCCTTACATCCCTCCCTATCCAGCTCAGATTCCAAAGTCAGATTCCATGGACACTAATCATCCCCATGCGCTCTTTCCCTCTGCCATATTTGCTTGGGTAAATCTCAATTCTGGTAACATCCAACTCTTCATCTACCCTATACCTTCATCCAAGCAACTGAATACAGATGAAGAAAAATCCACAACCATATAGTATATTACTTCAAATGAATACTTAACTCTTCCCAGTAATCATTTCTTTGGACAATTTGTTCTCCTATTCTTCAATGTGACTATTTATTGCCTTTTCCTCCTTATTCAAACCTCCAAACCCCTGGCCTTCTTCATTTTCAACTAACCTCATTTCTTATTTCAGTGAAAAATAAAAAAGGAGAAGGAAATGTCAACATCTCCCTGCAGCAAATCTACCAACCTTTCTGTTCCTGTGCCTAGAGATATGCTTTCCCCTCATTTCAATGAATAAGTGCCTACCTAAGTCTAACTCCTTCACTTGTGCACTACATGCCATTTCCTCTAGACTATACAAAGACTTTGTTCCAGAAATTCTCCCCCCACTCCCCACATCATCAAGTTTTCCCTCTCTAATGGGTCTTCCCATAAGCACATAAGTACTGTACCATACATATATAATATGTCATCTATTTGATCACTAAAAATTCTATGCATGTATCAAAATATCACGCATGCCCCATAAAGAAATACGAATATTATGTCTCAATAAAAAAACTAAATAAAATTAATCATAAAATAAAAAACCAACAACAAAGATTCTCAAAACTCAAAATCTTCCTTGACGCTATCTCCTCTATTCCAGCTATAGCTCTACTTGGATCCATTTTAGGACAAAAATCCTTGAAATGAACTACACTTGTCATCTTGCCTTTCTTCACTTCTCACTCTCCCTTGAAACCACACTAATCAAAATTTTATCCTAACCACTCCACTGAAACTAATGACCTCCATATTGCCAAACCCAGTAACTAATTCTCAGTCCTCATCTTACCAAAATCTCAGCAATTGATATTTTTGATCCCTCCTTCTTCCTTGAAACACTTTCTTTACGTGGCTTCCAGGACATCACACATATGGATATGCTTCTACTTCAAATGCTACTCCTTCACTTTTCTTTGCTGGATCTTACTCTTCTTCCTGACTACTAGGTATTGGAGTGCCCAGGCCTTAGTCATTAGACCTCTTCTCTTACTACACTGTTTCCCTAGGTGTCTCTTCCAGTTCCATCTCATTAATTACCACCTATCTGTTGATGACTCCAAAATCCTCATCCCCAGTCCACACTTTTCCCTGAATTCTTCTAGACTTATACTCACACAATAACTCATGGATGTCTATTAGGATTTCAGCTGTAAGATATCCAAAAGAGCTTCTGATAAAACATGTTCCCCCCTCAGGCTTCCTAATTTCAGTAAATGGCAACCACTATTTACCTACTTTTTTGTCCTTGACTTACCTTTTCTCTCTAAAACTCATCATCCAGTCCATCAGCAATCTCTAACGGATCTACCTTCAAAATACATATAGAATCAAGTCCCTTTCTCACCACTTTGTCCAAGTCTCATCTCCAGTTTGATATACTGCAATAGCAACAACTGGCCTGTGTCTATTCTTGCCACACCCCCAACACCACTCCATTCTCCACAGAACAACCTGAATGATCCCTTCAAAACATAAGTCAGATCATGTTATTCCTTTGCTCGATTTTTTCCACTGGCTATTCAGGTCATTCAGAATAAAAGCCAAAGGCCTCACCAGGGGCCTTTACCATTCTATATTCTGGTTCCTTGCTGCTAGTGACCTTATTTCCTCCCACTCTCTCTTTTTCTCTTGCTCATTGCACTCCCAAAACACCTAACTCCTCACTCATATCCAAATACAACAAGCAAATATTCATCGTAGGGCCCTTAAACTTGCCCTTCATTCAATGTGAAGCACTCTTTCCCAAATATTTGCAAAGACTTACTTCCTCATTTCATTCAGGTGTTTACTCAAAAGTATTTAAATGGCACCAACTCCCTGACATTCTCTTACTGCCTTTTTTGTTATTTGTTTATTATTTGTCTCCCCCATTAAAATGTAAATTGCATCAGAACAGAGATCTTGTCTATCTTATTCACTGCTGCATCCTCAACACCTAGAACAGAGTTTGGCATAGTGAGAACTCAATAAATATTAGGTGAATGAATGAATAATGCTGTAACATGTAGCTGAAATATGGTGACACATGGATAAATTAAATATCAGACATAGAGGTAATGAGTTTTTAATGTGATAGGAACAAAGTAATAAACAAAGTATTCTCTGTAGCTGAATAATAGCTTTGGGTGATGAACCACAAATTCTAATGATTTTTTAACTGATTGGTATTAATAATTTATAGTCAATATTTTGAAATATATCTTTATGGCCCATTTGTACAAGCTAGCCTACGAGGTGGCCAGTGCTCAAATTAGCATATGAATCCTATCTCAATCAAGAAAATGCTTGGCTTGATTTGGGATAGAAATATTACCTTAATTTAGCCAACAAAACATTATGGAATTAACAGGCAATACATTTTGACAGAGAAAGTCACACAGTTAAATACTGACTCCCAAAAGAAATGTAGTTTTTCATTAAATTAAAATTTTTCAATAAAATGATTTTATTGATTTAGTTATAAAATACATATTAGATGCCAAATCAAGTTATCTTTGATTAGTGGAAACTACTTATTCATTCATTCATCTAACACATGAAAAATAAGTACTCCATGCCAGACATTGTGCTAGGTAAGTTCACAATATTAGCTTGCTTAGTCCCCTGTGAGAGGAAGAATTATCCTTTATTTTATTAATCAGGAAATTAAGGTTTGTCCAACTGTTGGAAATTCAGAAATGCAGAAATGAGATTCATGCAAAAGCTCCATCCAACTCCATGTCTATTGTTCCTTCCATCACACCATAGCTGCCTCAAGTTCAAGTTGCACTGGGACCAGAAAATTTGCTACTGGACCAGTTCCTGCATTTTGGACATTCTACATGAAGTAATTCACTAAATAAAATTTTATACTGAGTACTGATAAGGGTTACAAAAGATGACCGTGACATGATTTCTAATTCCAGTGAGCACATAGTCCAGTAGGGCAGGCTAGATATGCATGATTATGATGTAAAATATAAAACAGTACCATAACAAGAGGTACAAAGCACTATGTTCTTTCCTTAGTAGAAGAATAAGGATAGCATTGCTCCCTAAAAGAATTCAAATTGTGCTACCTTTTGATAGTCTATATTCCCTTGGATGTAACTAGTGGGACAATGAGTTTCTTATTGATTCTCTAGAGATGGGAATAGTGACAATAAGCTTTATAATCAACCACCAACTAAAAACGTGGACATAACAATCATTCCAGTAACCCCGCTCCTTAGTTAGAAAAAGGGCAGAGACCTGAAAGCATTATCAACCTCATGTTATTTTTGTAAATCCTTGGCATTTGCTCTTCTTATTACTTAAGGCAGAAATATCAAGGTACTTAGAACTTAATGAAGCAAGGATAAATACCAGGGAAAAATTAAGGTGGTTTTTTAAAAGCCAAGTTTGCAAATAACTAATAGTTGTCACACATTAGTATGGTGAGTACCAGATGTGCCAAAAAAAGAAAAAAAAATTTACCTCACTCCATGACATTTACTGAGAATTGTAGGCAAGAAGTATTTCTTTTTTCTGCCAGAGACATTCACATTAAACATGCATTAGAAAACTATTCAAGTGTATAGGGTATAGGGAAGGATAAGAGCCTCTGCAGGAGATTCAGGCTGGATCCTGAATCAAATGAGTTTCATCACTACTAATTCTCTATTATGCTGTAAGCTTCTCAGGGAGAACAGAGAAAATCTCACCACAATTATCACAAACTAACCATATACCTATGTTCAAAACCTGCTAAATTCTAGTCCCTTAGAAATTCAATGTTGAGAAAATCTACCCATGTTATAAAGTGTATCTTTTAAAAGTTTCATTTGCTTTAGAAATGCAAAAGAGAATAAAAATATGTAAACTCCCAGATTTTATTTTATTTTTCAAGGGCATAATGGAGTAGGGTGAGTAGGAGGGCAGGCTGCTGAGAACAGGGGTTAATGACTACAAGTTACTAGTACAAATGACTACAGGTTTTCCCAAGGAAATCAATACTTGTGAAAATATGATGGCACATTTTAGATATAAGTGATGATGATCATAGACATCATTTTGTTGATGGTATGTATTATAACATTATAACTTGGACACATCCCATCTTTCTGTGATATCACCTTCCAATCTATTAGCAAAACTTATTTTATCTACAAAACACTTCCACTTCCACCTCAATCCACCCCACCACCATTTATAGCTTTCCAAGTAGACTTTGTACTTCCATGTCTGCTCCCCATAGCCAATTCCTAACATATCAGCCAAAGTGATCCGGATAAAATTTAACTCAGATGATTTCCCTGATCTGTTCCAAAACCCCCAATGGCTTCCTCCCATCTCAAAGGAAAAGGCAAAGTCATTACAATGGTCGTAAACACGGTGGACCTCTGTTACCACTCTGACCTCATCATCTCCTATCTCTTCTTCCTTTTGCTCACAGAACTCCAGTCACATTGTCCTCTTTGCTGTTTCTTTTCCACATCGAACACATTTCTCCCTTTAAGGTCCTTACAGATGCTTTTTACTCTGTCTGGAACACACCTGCTCCGGTTATCTCCATCATGCACCATACTTGCTCCATTCAGGTCTCTGTTCAAATGTCACTCTATCAGACAGGTCTTCGCTAACCACACTATTTATAATAACCCACCTCCAGCATTCTCTAAGTACTATTCTTTCCCCACTTTCAGATGAGAAACTATTGAGTGAGTGACAAAGCTAAATTTTAATCTTTATATTATTTGATTCCAAAGACCAAGTTCATTCCACCTTAGCATTGCTATCAGTTTAGAGTTGCCCTACAGACAAAGGTGCCTTGACGTTTAATGAAACTGTAGATTCTTGGTGTCAGGCGTATACTCTAGAAGTGGTTTTGTCTACATTTTAACAGAAGATGGGTGACTTATAAAATGAAATTTTAATCAATGTCTGAGAAAAAGATTGCCTGTGGTTAAAAATTAAGAACAGTTAGGATTTACTGAGAAATTTAATGAGAAATTGTGTTTCAGGTATATTCCTTTTTAATCCTGTTTTATAAGAATATATAACTTCATTCCCATTTAATGTTTATGTATATATGTAACAGTTATACTTTTAAGTACACCAATCTCAGGTAATCAAGTCTATGCTTTAAGGTTGGTAGTACATGTTCCAGACATCTCTACCTTATGGTGATTCTGTGTATGTGTGTGTGTAAGAGAGAGATTAGATACTGCAAATGTTGAAGGGTGAAAGAGCCTCTAGAAAATGAAAACTTTGAATCAAATACATAAAGAAACAAGCATAATATTATAACTAACACCATCACTATAAAAAAATCCACACAAATTAAGAAATAGTTATCAGTCTCAGTGAATGACCAATTTGGTCTAAGTAATATCTGATGCCACAAGAATTCAGGTAGTCTTCTGGTCTTCATTATGATAAAATTTAAGCTGTAATGGATCATACTCATACTCATATATTCTTCATTTTAATACAGATTTAATAAGATACTTGCCTTTCTATGACATAAATATTCTAAAGTCCAATTCAGTAAATATCACTAATATTTGCATTTTATTCAGCTGTTTTGATATTCTACCAATATAAGCCGAATTTGGAAATGTAAACTGTTTTTTAAAAGAAAGAGAATGAGAAATAGAAGAGAGAGATTCTAGCATCTGTAAATAAAAAGAAAAGGGTATAAAAACTCTGTGGTTTTCCAAGAAGGCTGTGAAACATGCTGGCTGGCATGACTTAATTAGTGGAATAAGCTTCAAATCCACTCCCAACTTAACTACAGAATAATCTAATCAAGCTGCTATTAATTTCCATGTTCTAAATTTGAGGGCTATAGATCTCTGGGTCAAGGTTTATCAAGTTCTTAAGATAATTCTGTGGAGTGAGGGATATACAATGAAAACAACCACCCAGACATGATTAACACAACCACCCCAGAGGTTGTGGGGCAGAGATTTCGAGGGGAGAGTTGTTGTTGGCGAATGTAATCTATGTAGCCCCTCCTCACACTTACGCATAAGTGGAATATGAAGTCATTGCTATAGACTGAATGTGTCCTCCAAAATTTATATATTGAAACCTAACCCTCAATGTGATGACATTAAGAGGCAGGGCCTTTGAAAGGTAATTAAGCCATGAAAGAAGAGCCCTTATGAATGGGATTTAGTGTCCTTATAAAAGAGATCCCAAATATCTCCCTTGACTCTCCTACCATGTGAGGTTACAGTGAGAATGTGGCTATGAACCAGACAGTAAGCCCTCACCAGACTCCAAATCTGTTGGCACCTTGATCTTGGACTTCCCAAATGCCAAAACTGTGAGAAATAAATCTGTGGGATTATAAGCCACCCAGTCTATGGTATTCTGAAACCAATGGAGATGGCAATAAAACAGAGGCACATTTTGATAACATTGAGAACATCTTCTCTGATTAGTTATATACCCCTGAAAATAAATAATGAACCCCTAAATGATAAACCAGAATGATCCACTTTCACAAAAGCTGGAAGAACTTACTGGTAAATGGCCAAGGAGAGAAGAGATGTTTTCAGCCACAAAAGTGATCACTCCATCTGTGCTCAGTATAATCAGAAATCCATCTAATGACTAATGAAGAGAAAATAATAATGTAGTTAAATAGTGGAAAAATAATAAAATGATAGCTTTATTTCTAAATGCATAGATAATTATAACAGCACACTGAAAATGTATTGCAGTCCTTAAATATCAATAATGTAGGCACAGACTTAATTAAAATTCCATTATTTTGCCTCCTACACAGAATCTACTTAACCTTAAGCATGAAATGTTTATCAAATGATGTGTCACTTAAACAAACAAATTTCAATATACACCCAATTAACACAAAACTCTCCAACACAAGCTAGGAAGATTCACTTCCGTGTGTAGGTTGTTTCATCTTAAGCACATTTAACTCCAAAAATGCTAAGAATGTTTTAAGGACACTTTCATTTGTGGTTAATTTAGTCATCTACTTATAAATATGGATATTGCCATCACTTTCCTGCTATATAATGGATTAGATATCCAGAAAAATGCCTCCTGGTAGAGAACATCTAAAATGATGAATAAGGGGAAAAAATGGTGGAGTTATGGTAACCTCCCGGATTCCTGCTTCCAGAGAAAGAGGCGTAGATCTCGATCTGCTACACATGAACGGATCGCTCTCCCGCAAAAACAGCGAGGTGAATCGGCGGAGATTCAGCGTGGGACACACAAATCAGGAAAAAAAATAAGGTGAACGGGAGATAGGAACACAAAACCTGGAGAGTGCGGGACAGACAATAGAGAGTGGAGCATGGGACAGTGGCACCCACCTGGCCAGTAAGTGCACCGGGATAAGACCCTCAAGAAAAAGTCTAGCTTCCCCACTGACTTACAAGCCCACTGAGTCAGGGACTTGTGTGAAGTGGGTGCAGAATCCTGGCAGGAAACGTGGGGTTCTGCGGAGAGGAGACAGTAGCGGGGAGCATCTTGAACTCCCCCGAGCTCCCTGTCAGGACTGCACTGGACAGGGGAGGAGCTGGTCTGGGCTACCTCCGGAGGCAGTTAGGAGTCAGGAAGCTGGTCTCTGGCACCCAGTGTGTCCAGAACAAGGAGGTGATTACTAAGTAGAGGACTCTAACCTGGAAACTGCCGCCGGCAATTAGGACTGTTCAGGGTGGGCCAGTAAGAGTGAGAGCTACTGCTGGACAGGCGTGAGATTGGGGGAGGGTGACATAAAGGAGACGGCGGGGTGCCCTGATGACTCGGCTCCCTGATCTGGTGCCTGCCAGCCCCTGAAGGTTGCCTCCAGTGCTGGAGCCCTGTGGGCGGGTGAACGCCATCTCGGGGCCCACAACACTGCAGCTGCAGTGCCATACGGTGTGGAGCAGCTCCCTTCCCCCAGCCCGGAAACTCTCGCGACAAGCTCCGCCCTTGCAGGGCCTAAAGTCAACTAGCAAGGTTTGCATTTTGAGGGGTGAATTCTGAACACTTCCTCAGTTGTGGGAGGCTGACGCCTGCGGGACTTGCAGACGCTGGGGCAGCGCCCCTCTCCCTCTGGCCAGCGTCTTTTGTGCAGAGAGTGGTGGCCTCCACCTCTGGGGTTGCAGCAGGGAGACATAAAGAGCCACTCCCCCTCTGCGACAAGCGTCAGTCCCTGGGGCTTTGGCACTGACCAATAGCTGACAGCCTAGTGACTTTTCTCATCACACTGGTTTAGGTCATCCAGTACGACTGCATTTCTGCCTCTGCTCAGCTACCAATAGTGAGGCCCGTGGTTAGGGAACTAAAATCCTGGCAAGAGACCAAAACAAGTTCCCCAAGTAATCCCTACCATCAGGAGCAGCATCCCAGCTATGGTAGAAGAAAACTGAACAACATACTTGCGGCTCCCTCTAGCGGCAGATCAAGTGAAAATACACAGGACTTGTTACTTTCCAAACGAAAACTGAAAGAAGAGAAGCAACAGCTGATCCAGATGGGAAGGACCCAGTGAAAGATTTCTGGAAGTATGAAAAATCAAATGGAAAGCACACCACCAAAGAGGAACACCAGCTCTCTAGCAATGAACATTAACCAAGTCCAGAATACTAAAATGACAAGAAGAATTCCAAACATGGATTGTAAGTAAACTCAATGATATGCAAGAGAAAATGGATAACCATCACAAGGAAACCACAAAAAAAATCCAGGACTTGGAAGAAAAATTCACTAAAGAAATTGAAATATTAAAGAAAATCAAACCGATCTCCTGGAAACGAAGGACTTATTCGGGGAACTACAAAACAGAGTGGAAAGCCTCAAGAACAGGGTAGATCAAACAGAAGAAAGAATATCAGAGATTGAAGACAGCTCCTTCCAATTGAATAAGTCAGTCACAGAGATTGAGCAGAAAATAAAGAAAAAAGAAACAAGCTTAAAAGAAATGTGGGATTATGTGAAAAAACCAAACCTGCAGGTGATAGGGGTTCTGGAAGGTGAAGAAGAAAACACACAAGGGCTGGATAACCTATTTGAAGATTTAATAGAGGAGAATTTCCCAGGCCTTGATAAAAATCTAGCTACACATACAAGAGGCTCAGCAGACTCGAGGGAGATTCAATGCAAATAGAAAGACACCACATCATGCAGTCATCAGATTGACCAAAATATACACTAAAGAGGCCCTACTACGAGCTGTCAGGCAAAAGAAAAAAGTAACATACAAAGGAAAGCCTATCAGAATAACTTCAGACTTCTCAACTGAAACCCTACAAGCAAGAAGAGCCTGGGGCCCCATTCTCACTCTTCAGAAATAGAGTAATGCCCAGCCTAGAATCTTGTACCCCGCAAAACTAAGTTTTATATATGAAGGAGAAATAAAGACATTCTCAGATAAACAAAGACTGTGGAAATTCACCAAGACAAGACCAGCTCTCCAAGAAGTACCCAAAGCTGAACTACACAAGGATCAGCACAATAAACACTCACGAATGTAAAACCACTCAAAAGCTAAAGATCAAAGGCAAGATTCCACAATGGTTCAAGAGTGAAAACAAAGCAACAAAATGCAACTCAACAGTATGAACGGCAATTTACGGCACTTATCATTTCTTTCAATAAATGTCAGTGGCTTGAACTCCCCTCTAAAGACACATAGGTTGGCCGAATGGATAAAAAAAACACAAGCAAAGTATCTGCTGTCTTCAGGAAATGCATCTAACCTGCAAGGATGCATTTAGACTCAAGGTAAAGGGGTGGAAATCAATATTTCAAGCAAATGGAAGCCAAAATATGGCTGGTGTGGCAGTTTTGATCTCAGATAACTTAGTTTTTAAATCAACGAAAGTAATTAAAGACAAAGAGGGCCACTATATAATGTTGAAGGGTACGGTTCAACAAGAAGACATAACAATTCTAAATGTGTATGCACCCAACTTGCTGTGCACCCAGATTCATAAAGCAAACTTTACTTAATCTAAACAAATTGATAAACAGCAACACCATAATAGTTGGAGACTTCAACATCCCACTGACAGCACAGGACAGATCCTCCAAACAGAAAATTAACATAGAAATAATGGACTTAAACATAACTCTAGAACAAATGGGCCTGACTGACATTTACAGGACATTCTACCCAAAAACCACCGAATATACGTTCTTCTCATCAGCTTATGGGACATTGTCTAAGATTGACCATATTCTAGGACACAAAGCATGTCTCAAGAAATTTTAAAAAATAGAAATCATACCATGCATCTTCTCAGATCACAGTGGAATAAAAACAGAAATCAACCCCAACAGAAACTCTCATCTCTACACAAAGTCATGGGAATTAAACAACCTTCTGCTGAACGATTCCTTCATAAATGAGGAAATAAAGATGGAAATCAAAAGATTCTTTGAACTAAATGACAAAGGTGACACAAGTTACCAAAATTTGTGGGACACAGCTAAAGCATTCCTGAGAGGAAAGTTTATTTTCATAAATGCCTATATCCAAAAGTCAAAAAGATCACAAACAGACAACCTAATGAATCGACTCAAAGAACAGGAAAAAGAAGAACAGATCGACCCCAAACCCAGCAGAAGAAGGGAAATTATTGAGATCAAATCAGAACTAAATGAAATTGGCAACAGGGAAACTATATGGAAGATTAATAAAACAAAAAGTTGGTTCTTTGAAAAAATAAACAAAATTGACACGCCCTTAGCTAAACTTTACAAAAAACAGAGAAGAAAAATCTCTAATAAGCTCCATCCAAAAAAGGAGAAGTTACAACCGATGCCGTGGAGATTCAAGATATGATTTATGAATATTACAAAAACCTTTATGCACACAAACTGGAAAATGTGGGGGAAATGAACAAATTTTTAGAAACACACGGCCTCCCTAGGCTCAACAGGAAGAAATAGAATTACTGAACAGACCAATATCAAGGACTGAAATTGAAACAGCAATAAAAAACATTCCAAAAAAGAAGAGTCCCAGACCAGATGGTTTCACAGCCGAATTTTACCACACCTACAAAGAAGAACTGGTGCCTGTCCTGCAGAAATTATTCCACAATATCGAGAAGGATGGAATCCTCCTCGACACATTTTATGAAGCCAACATAACCCTGATACCAAAACCAGGAAAGGATGCAACAAAAAAGGAAAACTACAGACCAATATTCCTTATGAATACAGATGCAAAAATTCTCAACAAAATTATAGCTAACTGAATCCAGGTGCTTATTAAGAAAATAATCCACCACGACCAAGTGGGCTTCGTCCCAGAGATGCAAGGATGGTTCAACACACACAAATCTATAAATGTAATTCACCACATAAACAGAAGCAAAAACAAAAACCATATGATTCTCTCAATAGACACAGAAAAAGCATTTGACAAAATTCAACACCCTTTTATGATAAGAACGCTCAACAAAATAGGCATAGATGGGGCTTACCTGAAAATGATACAAGCCATATATGACAAACCCACAGCCAACAACATACTGAATGGGGAAAAATTGAAAGCATTCCCACTTAGAACTGGAACCAGACAAGGTTGCCCACTATCTCCACTTATATTCAACATAGTGCTGGAAGTCCTGGCCACAGCAATCAGGCAAGAGAGGGGAATTAAAGGCATACAAATGGGAACAGAAGAGATCAAACTCTCACTATTTTCTGATGATATGATATTATATCTAGAAAACCCCAAGGATTCAACAAAGAGACTCCTGGAATTCATAAATGAATTCAGTAAAGTCTCAGGATACAAAATCAATACACACAAATCAGAGGCTTGCATATACTCCAATAGCAGTCATACCGAGAACCAAATCAAAGACTCAATTTCCTTCACAATTGCAACAAATAAAATAAAATACATAGGAATATATTTAACTAAGGAGGTAAAAGACCTCTACAGGGAGAACTATGAAACATTGAGTAAGGAAATAGCAGAGGACATAAACAGGTGGAAAACCACACCATGCTCGTGGGTTGGCAGAATCAACATCGTTAAAATGTCTATACTACCCAAAGTGACCTACAGATTCAATTCAATCCCTCTTAAAATACCAACATCATTCTTCACAGATGTATAAAAATTAATTTTATGCTTCGAATGGAACCAGAGAAGACTCCACATAGCAAAAACAATTCTGGGCAATAAAAACAAAATGGGAGGTATCAATTTACCAGACTTCAAACTTTATTATAAGGCTGTAATAATCAAATCAGCTTGGTATTGGCACAAAAACAGAGCCATTGACCAGTGGAACAGAACTGAGAACCCAGATATAAAACCATCCTCATATAGCCATCTAATCTTTGACAAAGCAGACAAAAACATACACTGGGGAAAAGAATCCTTATTCAATAAATGGTGCTGGGAAAACTGGATAGCCACATGTGGAAGACTGAATCAGGATCCACACCTTTCACCTCTCACAAAAATCAACTCACGTTCGGTTACAGATTTAAACCTAAGGAGTGAAACTATTAGAATTCTAGAGGAAAAGGTTGGAAATACTGTTCTAGACATTGGCCTAGGCAAAGAATTTATGAAGAAGACCCCAAAAGCAATCACAGCAACAACAAAAATAAATAAATGGGACCTGATCAAATTAAAAAGCTTCTGCACAGCCAAAGAAACTGTCACAAGAGCAAACAGGCAACCCACAGAATGGGAGAAAATTTTCATGTGCTACAAATCTGACAGGGCTGATAACTAGAATCTATTTAGAACTCAGGAAAATCAACAAGAAAAAATCAAACAACCCTATCAAAAAGTACGCAAAGGACATGAACAGAAACTTTTCAAAAGAAGACAGAATAATGGCCAAAAAACATATGAAAAAATGCT